ACACACACACACACACACACACACACACACACACACACACACACACACACACACACACACACACACACACACACACACACACACACACACACACACATACGCACGCACGCATGCACGCATCCATATATATATATATATATATATACGTATATGAGAGATAAGTGAGATATAATAAATATAATGTTGACATATTAGATCAAAAACCTAAGATGGAGTTATAAGATAAAGCTAACACATATAAGATCAATAAAAAGCGTGATGTGAGATCAAGAGCATGGGGCCGTTGTCAGAAACATCGTAAAGTTAATGCTGAGGTGAATGCTAAGATGGAACTTACGACTAATGTTGATGCTAAGATAGCACTTACGACTAATGTTAATGCTAAGATAGCACTTACGACTAATGTTAATGCTAAGATAGCACTTACGACTAATGTTAATGCTAAGATAGCACTTACGACTAATGTTGATGCTAAGATAGCACTTACGACTAATGTTAATATTACGGGAATAGCGTTGACAGTGCATCGCATCTATGAAAAACCCTACGATAACAGGAACTTAATTTACGATATTTCTGTCAACGGTTTACGAGTCGAAGTTAATATTAAGACTAACGTTAAGACTAATTTTGTTTCTGATAACGGGCCCCAGGTTCATATATATGCTCTTGAGCAGATATGACATCAACAGCGTATAACTCTTTTACNACACGACACGACACACACACACACACACACGACACACACACACACACACACACACACACACACACACACACACACACACACACACACACACAACTCGGGATCATAGTTTAACTGCGAAATTCTTGCCCCCCCGTCCGCAAAACTCCAATAAAAACCACAAAAAAAGCAACACGGAAACAAAACCAAATTAAACCTTCAACGCTCGACGACGCAATAATAAAACAACCCGAACAGAGAAAAAAAACGACGGGTTCACAGGTAACCTTTACATCCGCTGCCACTTCCGCCACCCACCACAACCGTTTCAACAGCCACCCCCATCCCTTTCCGCGACCCCCCCCCCGCGTGTGTGCTTCGATGAAGAAAGAAAGACGTGATTGCTAAGTGGGTGAGGGGGAGGGGACCAGAACCCATCAATTCTCACTCAACTGGCCCCAGTGCGTTTCTCTTCGCTCCACTAGACCGAGAGAGAGAGAGAGAGAGAGGAGGGG